CAGCCAAAGTGCTCCGGGGATGGGACCCGAGCTGGGGGGAAAGAGCAGCTCCAAATCTTGCAGGAGTTGGAGTTTTATGTGATGCAGGTTGGTGGCCCTGCGCTGTCCCGGCCTTGCATAAAGTTGTGGGCTTCTTTTTTTTTTTTTCTTTTTCTTTAATAAAGATTAATAAAGACGAATTAATTCCTTATTACCGTTATTATTACCATTGCTATAATTATCTCAAAACTGCCGCCCCTTGCAATAACTCACACGATTTCTGCAACACCTGCACAACCCCAGCCCGCGGCGATGCCCTCCGGCCCCGGCCCCGAGATGCCACCTGCCCCTTCCCCGTGTCCCCTCCACGGTGCTGACCCCGGGGGCTCCATCGCGTCCCCCTGATCCCTGTGGTCCTCCCTTGTCCCAGCTCAGCATCTCGGAGCTGTGCCCCCAGATCCGCGTGTTGTGCACAGCCCAAGCTGCTCCCAGCTGGGACGGGGTGAAGGATGCAGTCAGGGGGGTGCCGGTGGGTAGCAGCAGCCCCCTTGCAGGAAAAAGGGACTTTTGCAACAACCGCTGGCCTTCAGTTTAATCAAAGCCAGCAGCCGTGCGTGCACAAAGCCACCCGCAGCACCCTGAAACCCTTCCCTCGGTGGCAATCCAGCGATCAGCTCTGAGTGGGAAGTGCAACCAAAGCAGCCCAGCCCAGGAAGGAAAAAGCAGCAAAGAAAAAAAAAAAAAAAAAAAAGAAAAAAAAAAGTTAAGTTGGGATGGAAAAGGAACGTTAACTCCCCGCCCCGGATGCGGCAGCCCTCTGACCCCAAAGCTCATCCCAGGCAGGCGCGGAGGTGAGCGTGAGCCTCACGCTGTGGCGTGCCGAAGCAATAGCTGCCACGGGCGCTTTTGCCTGGATGGAAGGAGAAGGTTTTGCTTTATCGGCATTCCTGGCTCCGTGAAGCCTTTTTTTTTCTTTTTTTCTTTTTTTTTTTCTGGCTGTGGAAGGGATAAAACCCCGTGTGCCGAGCCCGTCGAAGCCCAGGCACGCTGCTCCGCAAGGGCAGGAGGCGTTTGCCGAAACGAGACGCCGAGCGCTTTATTTTTAGTCCCGGTTTAGCAAGTATTAATTAATAAGAGTGTGCATGCTAATGCTGGAACGACACAAACTGCAGCGCCCGAAACGAGTATTTGGGGCTTGCCTGAGCAAGGATTTACGGCCGCATGGGTTAATGGGTGCTAAAGCATTGCTCAGACTGCAGGGACGGGCTGACAAGGTGCTGCCGCCGAGCCCCCATCATCGGGGTGCTCGGGGCCACGCTCTGACTCCCCCGTGCAGCACCCAAAATTGGTGGGAGGCTTTGCAAAACGCGTTTCACTTTGCTCTGTCCCAGGTGGGGCTGCACTGTGTGGGTCACGCCTTGCAGAAGGGTTTACCCATGGAGCCACCAGAAAGTCATCAGGACCTACAGGGAAACTCCATCCCATGGGGGCACGAGCAAAGCCCGTGCCAAAGCCTGAGGCTGCTGCTCTCTTTCCCTCTCCGGGGCAGCTGGGGGCTCCTGCTCACCCCAGGGTGCTGTTTCGGAAGGGGACAGAGCAGTGTGAGCACGCAGGGAGGTGTCACATTGCCAGGGTACCACGATGCCGTGGCTCAGTGGAGGTGTTACAGGGGAAAATGTGTTGCATCAGGGCTCAGAAGTGGAAGAAAACCCCAGTTTGGGGGGTTTGGGTGCCCCACCAGAGCCACACATTTTTTGGGGAGATTCTGAGCGCTTGGCTGCCGCCACCCGAAACCATTGGGAATTAGGGTGAAATATTGAGCCCTGCATCCAAACCAGCAGCGTGCCCCTGCCCCAGCGTGCTGGCAGTGGTCAGCTTCGTCACATAGAGCACAGGGGCTGCACGAGAAGCCCACGGCCTCACCAAAGCCCCAGGGGATTCAGGAGCCTTCCCGCGGGCTGCAGGGTGGCCCCGGCACGGGCAGGGGTCAGCTCCCCGAGCGTCACCTCCCCAACGCTGCTCTGCAGCGGCTCGGCTCCTAGCATAGAATTTTAATTTGGTTAGTTGAGTTCTTTAAACAGTGTGAACTTGCTAAGTGCCTTGCATATTTTATACTCCTGAGTAACATTTATCAAACAGAGAGTACAATTAATCAAACGGGGAGCGGTGTAACTCGGAGCAGTTCGCCTTCACCCACCTCTCTCCCTCCGTGCCGCCGCCTCTCCCTCCCCTCTGCCCCTCACCGTGTGCCGGGGCCGTGTCACCGTCCCCGAGCTGGGACACGAGGGATGCTCGGAGTGCTCACCATGGCTCTGCTGATCAGACGCGATGCTGCACCCTACGCGCACTCTCTTGCTCGCTTGCTCTTTCTCCCTCCCTCCCCACCACACCAGGCATACATATTAAAAAGTTTTATCTATGTACACATAGTTTCTGTGTGTATATGTGCATATGTATGCATGTACCCGTATACTTACATGTATATCTGATTATCTGGTGTATAAAAATATCTGGATGTAGGCATGGTGTATGCAGTACATCTACAGCCATGTATATGCATGTACCCACAAGTGTTTGTATGGATATACAAAGTCCAAGTGCCCTATGGAGATGTATATACATGCACACATATACATGGTATTATAATGTTATACACACGGTCTATGGAGATAATTTATATATATATTATGTTATATAAATATATATTTATATATATATAACATATATATAAATATACACATATATACATATATATACACATACATATATACATATTTATATATATGTTTATATATATACATTATGTTATCTATTATCTGGTATCTAGTATATAACGTATAAATAGTATAAAACGTATAGTACAAAGTATCTCATATATAGCTTATAATATAAAATGTATAGCATATAGTATAGGGTAAATAGTATATAGCTTATAGTATAAGGCAGTATCAAGTAAAATATAGTATATACTATATACATACCTATATATATACTATATATATATACACTATACCTATATAGTATATATATAGGTATGTATATAGTATATAGTGTGTATATATATAGTATATAGTGTATATACTATATATATAGTATATATTCTATATATATACTATATATATAGTATATATACTATATATATATACTATATATACTATATATATAGTGTGTATATATATAGTATATAGTATATACTATATAGTGTATAACATATAACATATAGCACATAGCACATAGCATAGACTACACTTCTCATGTAATAAATCGATTTTATATACTTAGAGCTGCCGGGCTCCAGACAAACAGCAAAGGGACGCACACGGTGAGGGCAGGGGCACCCAAACCAGTCACATTTCAGCTCTTGGGGACGCGGGGACAAAGCCCCGGCTGCACCGGGCAGACACCGGTACGGGGAGTCACTGGGTTTTGCACAACCCAGCCGGGAGCGGGGCAAAACGGGCCGCAGGGCCAGGGCCTTGGGCTGGGGAGGGGATATTTGGGGTTTGCTGTGAAATGGGGGATTTTCATTAAAAAAATAAAACGCAACTCTATGCACAGCTTTTTCTTTCTGTTGGGTAAAATCGTGAGGGCCGTTGGTCTGGCACAGCCAGCACTGGGTGAGGAGGGCAAGCTGCTGCCTTCTGGAACCTTCCACATTCAGAGAGGCGAAGCCCCCACCGCCCCCCTCCTGTCCTCGGGGGTCTCCACAGCCCTCAGGGTTTTTGGGGCAGCAATTTGGGGGCAATTTCCCATTATTCAGACTGGGTGCTGGGGCCCTGTGGTGTCTCTGGGGCCTTGTCCTGGTCCGGGTGTCCATGGATGCTTAGGGGTGTTTGGCCCATTTCTATTTCTGTTTGTTTTTCGTTTGTTTTTTTTGTTTGTTTTTGTCATAATTTTGGGCCAGGCTCCACAACCGGCCTCCGTGTTAAGGTTGTGGGAGCAAAGGGGGGTGTCGGGGGTGGGATGGGTGCAGAGGCAGCAGGGGGGCAGCGGCGGGATGGGGCGAGGGGAGGCAAAAATGGGGGGGTTTGGGGCATGGTGGGGGGAGAAGGTGGGCTTTGTGGGGAGAGGTGACGGGATGAGGGGGGACAGGATGAGAGGGGACAGGACGGGGGGTGACGGGATGAGGGGTGACGGGATGGGGGGTGACAGGATGGGGGGTGACAGATTGAGGGGTGACAGGCTGGGGGGTGACAGAGTGAGGGGTGACAGAGTGAGGGGTGACAGAGTGAGGGGTGACAGGACAGGGGGTGACAGGATGGGGGGTGACGGGCTGGGGGGTGACAGACTGAGGGGTGACAGAGTGAGGGGTGGAAGACCAGGGGGTGACAGGCCAAGGGGTGACAGGCTGGTGGGTGACAGGCTGAGGGGTGAAAGACTGAGGGGTGACAAGAGGGGGGGTAACAGACCAGGGGGTGACAGGCTGGGGGGTGACAGGCTGGGGGGTGACAAGACAGGGGGTGACAGACTGGGGGGTGACGGGCTGGGGGTGACAAACTGGGGGGTGACAGGACATGGGGTGACAGACTGGGGGGTGACAGGACAGGGGGTGACAGGCTGGGGGGTGACAGAGTGAGGGGTGACAGGCTGATGGGCTGAGAGGTGACAGACTGGGGGGTGACAGGATAGGGGGTGACAGACCAGGGGGTGACAGGGTGAGGGGTGACAGGCTGGGGGGTGACGGGCTGGGGGGTGACAGACCGGGGGTGACAGGCGGGGGTCTTTTAAGCACTGCAGTGCCACCCCCCGCGTGTGGCCACCCCCCGTTCCCGTGCCCCCCCCCCCCAGCAGCAGCCGCTGCCCGCCGGAGCCCCCCCAGCTCCTCCTCCAGCGGGGCAACAGCGGCACCGCGCGGCCGGGGGGGGGCACGGCTCCCGGGGGGACGGGACAGCACCGGGACCACGGTGCCCCCCCCACCCCCACCGGACCCCCCCCTTCCTTAGAGCCCCGTTCGGAGCCCCCCACCCTTAATACCCCCCCTCCCCCCCCGTTGCCCGGTGCTCCCCCCCCCCACCCCCCCCCCGCCGGTAACGGAGGGAGGCCCCGCCCCCCCCCAGCCCCCCCCCCCCCCCCCGTCGCGGTGACGTCACGGGGAGCGCCGCCGCCCGGTGGGTGCCCGTGGCCGCCCGGTGAGGGGGGGGGGGAGGGAAACGGAGGGGATTTTTGGGGAAGGGAGGGGGGGGGGGCACCGGGGGGAGCGGGTACGGGGTTGGGGGGTGGGGGGGGAGAAGGGGAAGCACCGGGAGCCCCACACCGGGACCCCCCCCGCACACACCGGGGCCACACCGAGGTAGGGGGGGTGGGGGGGGCACGTTTAGGCCTCGCTGCCTCACCAGCCCCCCCCACACAACCCCTCCGGTTTGTGCCCCCCTCCCCCAGCACAGGGACCCCCCCACACACAGCGTCCCCCAAGTGGGTGGGGGGGGGGGGCAGGGGCACTCCCCCCCCCCCCCCAGGCCCCTGAGGTGGGGGTGTAGGCAACGGGGGGGGGTCCCCAGGCCTGAAACCAGGCCCCCTCCCCAGCCTGCAGCCCACCCAGATTTGGGTATTCCCCCCCAAAACGGGGTTGTGGGGCCAGGGGGTGCCCACAGGGTCCCCATGGGGTCTGGGGGGGGGGGGTCTCACCTCCACCTCCTCCGGGCCGCAGTTGGTTCCCCCCCCCCCCCACCTGCAGTATTTTGGGGCTAAAAACCTGTTTTTTTCTCCCCCTAGAGCCCAGCGCAGAGCAGCTCCGCGCCAAGCTGGCCCCCCAGGAGTGAGGTGAGGTCCTTGGGGGTCTCCAAACCCACCCCCGAGCCCCCCCGGGGAAGGTTTTGGGGTGCTCTGACACCACGAACCCCTCGTATTTCTGTCTGTGGAGGTGGTGGAAGGGGATGAATTTAGCCTTGGGCCACCTCAAATCTCGCTGCTAATCCCCCCCGGCGTTAATCAGACCCCCGGGGGGGTGAGTTATGGGGTGTCCGGGGGGATTTATGGCTCGTAGGGCTGATTTAGAGCCTGGTTTTGTTATATCGCAAAAATCTTAGCTCACGGGCACGGCTGAGATTTATGGCCCTCGGGGAGGTGCTTGGGGGGACTTCCAGCAACTCCCCCTGGACCTGGAGGTGAGCAATGGGGCTGCCCCCACCCAGTGGGGTTTTGACCTGTTAATGCTCTTAAAATGGAAAGAGAGGAGGCAGAAAAGGTGAAAAAAAAAAAAAATGGGAATTTTGGGGGTATGTTGGGTATTTTGGAGACCCTCCCTGCCCGGGAGGGTCTCCAAAACTCTCCAGCATTGAGGTCCTTGTTCCTGCTTGTTGTTCCTAGAAGTTTTTAGGGTTTGAAGCATCCCTGGTGGGAGGGAAAGGGGTGTCAGGCACATGTTGGGATGCTCAGAGAGCTGATCCCACAGCCGTGACACCGAGCTGGGGATGGCGGTGGTGCTGTCCCACTGTGAGGCTCACCAGGAGCCCTACCTGGGTTGGGGGGCTTCACGTTGGGGGGGCTTCTTTGTTCCTGACCCGTGTTTTTTCCCCCTTCTGGAAGAGCAGCGAGTCCCCCGCTGGGCCAGCATGTCGAGCGAGGTGGTGGAGGACGAGTTTGAGTTCTACTCCAAGGCGGAGAAGTACTGGAAGGACGTGCCCGCCACGGTGGACGGCATGCTGGGGGGCTACGGCCACATCTCCAGCATCGACATCAACAGCTCCAGGAAATTCCTGCAGCGCTTCCTGCGGGTAGGTAACACGGGACCAGGTGCTCCCAAAGCCCCGTTCCTTCTCCTGGCGTGGAGCTGGGCTCTTCCCTGCACGGTTGCCTCACCGTGGAGCTCAGCCCCTCGTGGTTTTTGTTCCCAGGATGGTCCCAACAGGACGGGGACGACCCGAGCTCTGGACTGCGGGGCGGGCATCGGCCGCATCACCAAGTGGCTGCTGCTGCCCCTCTTCAAGACGGTGGACATGGTGGACGTGACGGAGGATTTCCTCACCAAGGCCAAGAGCTACCTGGGCGAGGAGGGCAGGCGGGTGCGCAACTACTTCTGCTGCGGCCTCCAGGACTTCAGCCCCGAGCCCAACTCCTACGATGTCATCTGGATCCAGTGGGTCATCGGTGAGGGGTGCTCCGTGGCCTGTCCTCTCCCCGTCCAACCCCACGGGCACCAGGGCGGGCTGGGATTGGGATCTGCCCCGTGGAGGGTGTCACACTGTAGGGTCTTTTTCCCCAAACCCTCAATACCAGGGCGTGGGTGGGACAGAGTTGGACTGAGCCCATGGGATGCAAGTTGGACGCCCCCAAGCTCTCCCTTGAAAATAGCTCAAATATTTTGACTGCTTGGAGCAGGAGGGATCCTAACAGCCTCCCCTTCTCCATCACGCTGCCCGGGGAGGGGGTCTCACACCCGCTAACCCCCCTCTCTGCTCTGCTCCCCCCCCAGGACACCTGACGGACAACCACCTCTCCGATTTCCTGAAGCGGTGCCGCGCCGGGCTGCGGCCCAACGGCATCGTGGTCATCAAGGACAACATGGCTCAGGAGGGCGTGATCATGGACGATGTGGACAGCAGCGTCTGCAGGGACCTGGACGTGGTCCGCAAGATCATCCGCCGCGCCGGGCTGCACCTCCTGGCCGAGGAACGCCAGGAGAACTTCCCCGATGAGATCTACCACGTCTACACCTTCGCCATGAGATGAGGCTGCCTGGTGGCCGGAGGGGGGGTCTCTCTCTCTCTCTCCAAGGCCAGCTCGGAGCAGCAAAGGCAAGGACAGAAGGTCCTGCCGGGGCCGGGCGAGGACCGTGTGCCTTCACCGCCGAGGGGTGGCCGGGGGGCGTCGCGACTCCCTCTCCTCCGGGGCTGGTGGCGAGGAGGGGGCTTTGTCTTCCAAAGTTGCTGCTGGTTGTGGAAAAAAAAAAAAAAAAGAGGTGCTTGCCAAATACACGCTCCTGCTGTCGCACTCCTGCACGTGGGCTTTGTCAGGCGCAGCGCCGTGGTTTGAGGCCACGCTCGGGGGCTCTGCCCAGCACTGCTCGCTCCTTGGGCACCCGTGGGTGCTCCCTGCTTCACCAGGGGCTTGGTGTGGCTGTGACGGGCTGGAGTTTTTGGAGTTTTGGGAGTCGCGTGGGAGTTTGCCCCTTTTCCCGCTCCCGAGCTCGCTGCTGCTCACAGAAGTGAGGGTTTAACTCAGCAACAAGCTGGGTAAAGCAAATGGGAGAACCCCGTGGTGTTTCCTCGCAGTGGGCTTCAGCTTCTGGGGCTCTGAGTTGGGTTTTAAACCCATCAGCAGGCCTCCCACGTGCACAGCAAAAGAGAAGGGAGCTGTAATCCTGGCTCCCTCGTGTTCTCCGGAGATGTGGTAGCGCAGACAAAGCCCTGCCTGACCTCCTGGAACACTTTTACCAGCCCCGGTGACCCTGAGGAGACATCCAGTGAGCACTCGGTGTTAGCTGGGCACCTGCTCCGAGCTGCCCCCCCACACCCTGGCACTGCTCCCCCGGCTTTGAACGCTCCCAGCTCTTCCCCTGCCACATCCAGAGCATTTCTGCCAAGCCTCCTCCCGTGCAATTCCTCCCACCCAGCACAGAGGTGAAACGAGCGGGCAGGTCCCACGCGGAGCCCTCGTCACCACCCCAACCCTCTGCAGAAGAAACGAGCCCCTCGCTGCTGTTACAAAAAGGCCTTGTTTAATCGCTCTTTTCCAAGGGATTTCACATTTTTTTGTTTTTGGACATCAGTTCCTCAGGACGCACAGCCCGGATTCCACAGGGTGGGAGAAGGTGAAGCACAGGAGCTGCCAGGAGGGCAGCGTGGGGAGACGCCCCTGCAGATCCCAGCTCTGCTTGCTGTGAATACCTGCCCACAGGAGAGGATTTCCTTCCCCTTCTGCATCTGTTCTGAGGGCAAGGCTCAGCTCCACGGCATCTTTTGGACTTCACAGGGATGCCCAGGAGCTGCCAGACGGCTGCGGCAGGCTGGGACGCGAGACCTTCCTGCCCAGTTCCTAAGGTCGGAGCTTTTTGTAGCAGCTTGGCAAGAAAACCCCGAGCTCTGCTGCAATTTTTTCTTCCTGGGCAGGAGGCGCTGGAGCTCGTGAAAGAGGAGCGTGTAAAAGGGACAGGAAGGAGCAAGGCACGGAGCAGTTTGCTGCCCAATCCTCCCTGCACACACAACACCAAAAACCAGCCACTTGTCTCAGAGCCCAGCGCCTCCAAGACGCATCCCCTGTGCCGAGAGGATCGAGTGCTCTTGGCTAAAGCTCTGAGGGCGCTCAGCAGCCGGGCTGCTGAAAGCACCACGTCGGGGCGCAGAGGCAGGGCCTGCCCCCATCACAGCAGAGCAGGAGGCACAGAACTGGATGCCAGTGCTCCCCTGGAGGGTCTGGCTGCACTTGGCACCTCTCCGTGCTGCTGCTCAGCCCCCGGGACAGGCAACACCTCTTCCTTTGGCACCCCGAGGTGTCTCACAGCTCTGCTCCTCGTCCAAGGCACTGCTTCGCCCACTGCAGAGCCAGCAGGGCTGGAAGGAGGGGAGCTGTGCAGCCACACTGCCCCGCTGCCCCTTCACCAAACACCCACACAAACTTTTCTCCCCAGTGTCTCCCTGATTTCCAGCTGCCCTCTTCACCCGCAGAGGGCCAACCTCCCCAACAAGGTGCCCCAAGAGTACCCCCCTGGGCTCCTTCTGGTGTAAAATTAAATCAAAATAAGCAGGTGTTCATCTCAGAGCCTCCACGGACGCGCGTGCAGCACCGTGCACGGAGAAGCACGGCCCTGAAACACAGCGGAGAGGCCCCGTGGGCACGGGGAGGGCAGCACCCCTCGCTGCAGGGAGACCCGGTGCAGAGCAGCGAGCTGCTGGCTGGCCACGGGCACCACGAGCGTGGAGAGGGGAGGTGGAGAGGCACCAGCCAGGCTCAGAGGTCCTCGTGCCCCACAGCAGTGTGGTCGATGAGCAGGTACCACTTCAGCCTGTCCGGAAGAGGTAGAGCTTTGATTTTAACATCTACAGGCCAAGGTTTAAGGCGCTGCCGGATAAAAACCCTGCAGAGATGTTTCAGTGCCTGGGGGGTGTGCTCCAGCTGCTTCAGGGAGCAGAAGAGAGTCTTGACCTTGTCCCCGTGGTACCTACAGCTGCTGGTGTTGACCTCAAAGTTGCTGGGCAGCCGGATGGCTTGCGAGCTGGCCATCATGAGCTCCAGCAGAGTCTGACCCTTCTGCAGGAGGTCTGCGTAGAAGCTGGCATCTTCGGAGACACTGAGGTGAGAGCAGAGGCACTCGAAGACGAGCTGGAAGCCCGACCAGCAGGCAGGGCCGTGGAGGCAGCAGTTGTAGGCAGCGCCCGACTCGAGGAGGAAGCGCAGGAGAGCAAAGTGGTGCTTGAAGTTGCTGAGGCAGAGATGGGTGAGGGATTCGGGGGCCGGGCACTCGCTGGGGTTGGCCCCGTGGGCCAGCAGCAGCTGGGCGACGCGGAAGCAGAAGCCATTTGTCACCCGCGCCTCCTCCGTGCTGCTGCACACCCCCTCGCCCAGCAGGAAGATGAGGGAGGTGAAGACGGTGTCGCCGTCCTTGGTGGTGGCCCTGACGTCTGCACCTGAGGGGAGACACGGAGAACGGAACTGGGAACGCAGAGAAACGGAGGGCACCCAGCACCAAACCCTCCTCTGCTCCCTTCTCCTTCCAGGGACGGGCCCAGGAGACCACAGAATTACCAGGGCCTCCCCCAGGCAGAACTTAAACACCAGGATGAGATCGTTGTCTCCCCAGTATGAGGAGCCCAACACGTGCTCCACGAGGAGCCACGCTGCAGGCTGTGATTTCTGAGAAAGACACTTCTCTCTTTATCCTATTTTACTTCCTGCCAGAAGCAAGAAGCAGAGAGCACGATTTCTGTATCTGATACGTTTGTCTAGGAAGCATCCTTTGGAAAAAATACAGCCAGAGAGACCAGGACAGCCCTAACCCTGCCTCTGCCAGGCTTTACTCTTGCTGAATCAGGAACGTGAAAGAGCTGGGAGGGCAGCACCCGCTGCCATACAAAGAATCAGCCTGGAGGGGCTTTTTGTGTGCAGAGGGGAGCTTGTCCTCACCTCCTTCCAGCAGCAGGCGGATGCTCTCGGTGTTGTGGATCTGGACGCCGTCGCTGCTGGCCAGGGCATGCAGCAAGGCTGTCTTTCCTGGGAGAAGACAGATAAAAAAAAAGAAGAGCTCCACCTAGAAATGCTCACCCCAGAAGCAGCTCCCTGCTCTCTGCAGGAGCACCCGGGGGGGCACACCCACCGTTTTTGTCGGCTGCGTTGACGTCAGCCCCCAGCTGAAGCAGCCTCTGGAGGCACGACAGCCGCTCGGGCTCCTCGCTGGCCAGATCAAGGGGACTGCTCTCATGGATCTGCAGAGATCGAGGGGGAAAAACACGAGCATTAACACCTATTTGTGAGCTCTTCTATAAAATCCATGCTAGGGCTTCATCACAGCCAACATCAGAGCGTTTATTTCACCCCAATCCCCTAAAATCAAGAGCGACAGCCCCTCCACAGCATCTCTGTGTCCACAGCTGGGTTAAACCAACCTCCTCCCACCCACCGCAGCAGGGACGGGTTTGTTTGGCCTAAAGCAGCCTCTCAGGAGGCCACCAACAGCAGGTGACAGACGAGGGGGGAGCTGTCCCCATACCAAGGGTGAGCCATGCCCGGGCAGCCAGGTCCGTACCCGGTCTCTGCGGTTGATGTCCGCCCCGTGGCGCACCAGCAGCTCCACCACGTCGGGCTGGTTGCGGAGCACCGCGATGTGCAGCGGGGTGTAGTAGGTGACGGGGTCTGGGGGCAAAAACACGCCGTGTTTTTTGGAGAAGGGAGCAGCCCCACATGCCCTCCCCCTTTCCCAGCGGCCGTACCTTCGAAGCTGAGGTCGGCGCCGAACTCCAGGAGGATTTCCGCGGCGGTGACGAGCCCCAGCTCGGTGACTTTCAGCAGGGCATAGCTCACGCCTTCCTGGTAGAAGGGGGAGTGGGTCTCCCTCTCCAAAACTCGCCTCACAGCCGAGAGCTGGCTCCTGTCGCTGCCCAGGCAGGCAGGGCTGGGGATGCACAGAGAGAGAGACGGTCACTCACCTGAGCATCACACGGCTCGGATGGGTTTGCAGAGGTCAAAGCAGCACCAAAGAGAAAGAAAAAGCCCTGCTCTCTCCTCTTGTCCTGCAACCTGGTGTGGTTTTATTGCCATAGGCAGGCTCCTGGGGAGCACACACAGCCCCGTGCTTGCGCTGCTACAACCCCACGCTCCCAAAGGTCCCAGGGACCACCAGCCCCCAGGGACAGCTCCGCTCCCAGCCCCATCCCGTTACCTCTCCAGCTCGCTCCGCCTCGCCGCGTCCTGCAGCGCCAGCAGCCCCAGGATCTCATCCACCAGGGGCTGGTACTCGAAGATGATCCTGCGGAAGCCGTGCAGGAAAGGCATGCTGCTCCCGCCCGGGGGGGCCCCTGCATGGCAGTGGCGCCTCGCCCCACGCAGGACTGTGGCAGGCAGACGCCAGCAGGGCCTGAATTCCACGGGATTCCTCCTGTGTTCAAACAAACGCGGGTTTGGAGTGATTTAACAGCTCAAAAACACCCCCAGCCCCTTTATAGCTTTATAAAAGCCCACAAAGGGCAGCGCAGCCCCCCCACACCCCTCGCCCTTATCTCCTGCGGGCAGCTCAGGGCAGAGCCGGGCCCGGGGCCGGCCCCACCCGCACAGGCCCAGGCCCCACACACAGGGCCGGGCCCCGGGGCCCTGCAGGCCCCTCACTGGGAGGGGCGACCCCCAAAACCCCCCAAACTCCCCCCAAAACTCCCCAATCCCCCCCAAAACTCCCCAAAACCCCAGGGTAGAGCCCGGAGCACGGCCCCAGGAGGCTCCCAGCCACCCCCTGAGGCTCCCGAGGGTCCCACAAGGCCCCTGTGGGAGGGTCCCGGTGCCGCAGCCCCCCCTCCGCCACCCCCACCTGCCCCCGCCGCCACCGCCACTGCCCGGAGCGGAAGCGGAAGCCGGCGGCTAAGCCCGGAGGGGGCGTGGCCTGGAGGGGGCGTGGCCTAACGGGGGGGGGCGTGGCTTTGGGTGGGTATGGGCGTGGCGTGGCGGGAGGGGGCGTGGTCTAAGGGAGGGGGCGTGGTCAAATGGGGGCGTGGTCAAAGCAGGGGGCGTGGTCTGAAGGGGGCGTGGCCTGGTTCGCGCGCCCGCCAGGGGGCAGCAGAGGCCGCGCGGCAGGTGGGGAACGGCGGGGGGGGGGGGGGGGGGCGCGCACGTGGGAGGGGGTGCGCGCACGTGCACGCGCACCCCCCCTCCGTGCATATGCATGCGGTGCACGTGCACGCCCGGCCACGCACGTGCACACTCGTGCACGCGCACACAGGGTGCGCGTGCCCCCTCCCTGCCATTATTATTATTATTATTATTATTATTATTATTACTGTTTTTGTTATTTTTATTATTATTATTTATTTTTATTATTTATTTTTATTATTTATTTTTATTATTATTGTCATTCCGGTGGAATTTCCAGCTGCACGGAGCTCCAGAGAGCCAGCCCTAACCGAAACCGCCTCAAGTTTCCTATTTACTTATTATTTATTTTATTTTATTTTATTTTATTTTATTTTATTTTATTATTTTTATTTTTATTTTATTTTATTTTATTTTATTTTATTTTATTTTATTTTATTTTATTTTATTATTCGGGTGATTTCTTTCATTCTGGCGGGGCGCTTCCAGGTATCATGGCATGAGGCACACGGGGCGAGGAGGCCGCCCTGCCTGGGCGCTTTTCTACCTGCCCCCATCCCCAAAACCCTCCGTGGATCCCCCAAAACACCCCATGGCCCCCAAAACCCTCCATGGACCCCCAACCCCTCCGCGCACCGGGCATTGCCACCATCCCCATGCGCACAGCACCACCGGAGACCCCTCAGACCCAACCACCCCTGGAGGAAATTTCCCCATTTTGAGAAAATTCACCCCAAAATGGGACTGAGACAAAAAACTGACACTGGCGAGCAGGACACGAGGGGGACCCCGACCCCAAAGACCCCCCCGTGGGGTCACCGCGGGCGTCGTGCCGGTGCCCGGCCGGGATCAGCCCCGGCCTCCCCAGCGCCTTGGCGGGGCGGCGGGGGAAGAATGCGAGCTGGCGATCCATCAGGGAGACAGAGCAGCGGCGAGCCGAAGAAAGAGGGGCATTTTAGGAGGAAAGCCAGGGAAATTTGATCATTAAGAAATCCTCCTGGCTGTCTGGGGGAATTTAATTAAATTGCTGGAAAGGGCTGCGAGCACATCTGGATCCAATATGTGCAGCTTTGATTTTTTTCTTTCTTTCTTTCTTTTCTTTTTTTTTTTTTTTTCTTCTTTTTTTTTTTTTTTAGTTCACTCTTTTCCCATCTCGCCGTTGAAGGGGGGTGAGGGGGGGGGGTTGTGGGGGTGTGGGGGGGGAATAAAAGGGAAATAGCAGAGCCACGGAGTATTGGTTCATCTGGGACTGGGATTCCTGGCAGGGAAAGAAAGAGCGAGAGAAAGAATGAGCGAAAAGAAAGAGACAGAACCGGGGGGGGAACGGGGAATGGGGGAGAAAAACCTTTACCACGGGCTGGGGGGGGGCACGATGCCACCAGGGACAAGGAGCTGGGGTGGGGGGGGGGGGCAAGGATGAGGCAAGAACCAAGCGTGGGGCACCCTTGGGTGCTGGCAGGGCTGGGAGCCACTCGTGGATGCTGAAACCCCTGCGGTGCCGGGGGGGGGTGCCCATATTTTGGGGGCCAAACCGAGCACGGTGCTTGCCCCGATGCCCCCCCACCCCGGTGGCCCCGAGCTGCCCCATCCTCGTGGGTCACCTCCAGCGCTGCGAGGTTTGGGGTGCTGCTGTGGGGACGGCTGACCCCATCCCCTGGGGGGGGGGCACAGAGGTGCCATCCCGAGGCTGTCCCAGCCTAATTTTGGGGAGGGGGCTCGGCACGGAGCAGGGCACAGCGGTGCCACCCACCCCGGGACCCTCTCCGTGTCCTGGCCAGGCACCGTCGGCCCCCGTCTCCATCCCGTGCGTCCTCCTCGTTACGGGGCACACAACCAGAAACCCTGGGGATGCGGGCACCCCAACCCAATTTCTTTGCAGAATAATATAAAAAGGGCAAGATTTGGGGAATATCGAGGAGAAGGAGCATTTTGGTACCGAAAGGAGCCCCGAGTGCACCGCGCAGCACCGGTGCCCGCGGCGCTCCCACCCAGCACGGCACAGCCACGGGACACCAGGAGCACCAGGAATCCCCTGGAAGGACATAAATCGAGATGAACCCAAATTGTCCTTTTTTTATTTTATTTTATTTTTTTTAAGGCACCCTCAGGGAGCTGAGCTTTGGTCCCCCGGCCCCTCTCGGCGGTGTCGGAGCGCTCGCCCCGCTCGGGTTTAGGCGCAGCAAACGTGCTTGGCTGCGTGTTCACCAAACGTGCTTTGCTCAGCACGGGCTGAGAGCCACCTTGCCAGCTCCGAGGTCCAGTTTTAATCGCTTAAAACGCATTTTTCCAAAAAAAAAAGAAAAAAAAAAAAAAAAAAGGAGAAGATCTCGCACGAGAGGCTTGGGGAACGACAGGAGAGCGGGTTTCAGACAAACGGGTCTAGCTTCAGATGCCTTGTGTGGCTGGCGGAGTTAAAAAAAAAAAAATGATGCTTAAAAAAAAAAAAAAAAGGCAAATCCTAGAGCTAAAAAGGAAATTGCATTAATACAGATTGTTTTATTTAAAAAAAGCAAACCCTGACCTCTACTTCAAAAAAGTCATTAGACATTCTCCTTCTGAAAGGCCGACAGGGGATATTACTGCAAGGCCAGTTAATTTCTCAATGACTTACTGTTCTTGCTCTGCTCATGGAAATGTGTAAAGAGTCGGAGGGTAATTTAAGGCACCCTGCAGAAAGGTGTGTAAATCTTTGCATGTCTAAAGAAACTTTACCAGACCGCTAGGATTGGGAAAAAGAAAATGCTTGCCCTCTTTTTTTTTTTTTTTTTTTCTCTCCCTCTCTTTTTTTTTTTTTCACTTTCCTTTGGAACTCCGATCCCCTTTGATCATAAAAAAGGTCATATTTCACCCAAAAAACTATCGGCAATCACAGGGCCCGAGGAAGTGCGAACCCGAGGGGGTTTCGCCGACGATTATTCCCCCCCGTTTAATTATTTAATGCCGGGGGCTGAGCGAAAGGCCTCTCCCCTGGAAGAGCCAAACGCTTCCAGAACCAGCTCTGGCCCTGAGCGAGGAGGCAGGGGGGCAGTGCCCGGGGCTGCCCCCTCCCACCCCAACAACCCCCAAGCCCCCCAGCCCCCCAAATAACCCCCAAAACCCCGACGGAGCCGGGCGCATCGCCACCAGGACACCAAGCTCCAAGGGGTCGCCACCACCCGCAGGGGCCGGGCTGTCCCTGGAGCTGTTTGTGCAGCACCCGGTGTCCCCCCCATCCTGGGGACAGCATGTCCTGGAAGCCACCATGGGGAAAAAAAGTGGAATAATGCGGATATTGGGTCAAGGAGGGGATGTGCTGGCTCTTCACATGGCCCCAGCACGTGGCACGGTGCCCCCCAAAGCTGCCCGGAGGGCTGGCGGCGACGTGTGCCACCCGTGTGCCACCCATGTGCCCCGTGCCATGCTGGGTGGCACGGCAAAACCGGAGTGACACCACTTCCAGGTTTACACGGGCAAGGGGAGGATGGGGATCCGGAGCTGATTCCGGCCTGTATTCAACCCCGGGGCCAGGAGGGGTGGTAAAACAGCCCCCCAAAAAAAGCAGGAGGGGGGTTGGGAGGCCGGGCTGGCTCGTTTTTTTTTTGTTTTTTTTTTTGCACGCTGCGGGAGCCCCCCCGCGGACTCGGAGAGCCAAAATCTTGCCTTCAGCTACACCCCTTCCAATCTGCCGAGCTCTGGGAAGCTGCTTCCCCCCGGCAGGGAGATCAGATTTGGCAGCGCTGGCTCGCTTCGAAACCCGCACGCCTCCGACTTGAAGGGGAGAGGGGAGCGCAAGGAAAAAGCTTGCGACAAATGCGAAAAGAACTCAGCCGGGGGCTCGCCTCCCCGGGATGGGGCTTTTTGGGAGCTCAGAGCTGGGCTCCAGCACCCAAACTTGCACGATTTCGCCTCGAAACCCCCGTGCGCCCTGCGCCATCCGCGTGCGCCCGCGGCCCCATCGCCCCCCAGCCCCAAACCCGCCCCCCAGCTCTGCCCCCTTCTCTCCCATCGCCTCCTCCATCTACACACACACACACGTATAGCCCTAGCGGGATTGGATTTTAAAAGAAGGGGGGCAAAAAGTCCTTTTTCCTCTCCCGGCGGCTGGTTTTCATTAGGGAGGTTTCTTTCGCAGCCCCAAGGGAAGCAGCCTATGAGTTTTTAACTGTGGTGCAGGACGTAATTATCTCATTAAGGCGAGAGAGCCAGGCTTTTCCCAGGAGAGGTGACCTTGCTCCGGGGTTGCTGGGGCTTAGAGGAGGGGGGGGAGAGGTGGAAAAAGAGGGGTAGGGGAGGGGGCCGTGTCCCCCCGTCACCCGCGGGTCACCTCTCCATCCAGCCCCATTTGGGGTCGGGGGAGCGCATCCCCCCCCCCGCTTCCACTTGTTGATAGAAGCACTTAAAGAAGGGCTGGGGGGCCTCGCAGGGGGGGGGCAAAGAAGGGATAGCGGGGCTCTGCCCCCCCCCCCCTCCCCATAAACCTTCCCTCCCCAAACCCCCCCCGGGCTCTGCGCCCGGGCTGCCGCCGGTGCTCGGCCCCTGGCAGGGGGCAGGTCGCCGGCCCGGGGGGCGAGGGGCGAGGGGCGAGGGGCGAGGGGCGAGGGGCCGCCCCGCTCGGCTCCGGAGCAGGGGCGTTTGTTTGAACAGCTCCAGAGCAAAGAGCAGGGGAAAAAAGTTTGGGCTGGGAGCGTGGTTTTTTTTCCCCAGACGTCAGCACAAGGCGGAACAGGGGCTGGGGAGGGAGCCGGACTCGCAGGGCAGCCGGGATTTATTTTATTTATTTTTTTGCCTTTTTAATTATTATTATTTTTTTATTATTATTATTTACTTGAAGGGGTTGGGGAGGGGGGGGGAGGGTGGAGAAGGGGAAGGGGCCGGGGAGCGGCCCGGCACCTCGGGGTGGGCTGGGGGGGGGAGCCATGGACTCGGCGCCAGCCTTCGCCATGGACAAGCCGTTCGCCCCCGGCACCGTGCGCGCTCCGGAGCCTCCCGAAAACCCCCAGGGCCGGAAAAACTTCAGCGTCAGCCACCTCCTCGACCTGGAGGAGGTGGCGGCCGGCATGAACGGGACCCCCCCAGCCGGCCCCCCACCCGCCGGGGGCGGCAAGGCGATGCCGGAGCCGTCGGGAGGCAGCAGCGGCAGCGAAGCAGCGCCCCAGGACGGTGAGTGCCGCCGCCCCGGGATGTCCCCCCCCCTGTCCCCGGTAGCCTTAGGGTTGGGGTGACCCCCCTGCACCCCTTTGCCCCCCCCCCGGGCCATGTTACAGCCCGTGGGCAGCGCTGAGCACGGGGGACAAAAGGGCTCGGGGTACCCCAATTGGGGGGGGGGCGGGATGGGGGGTGAGGATGTGGCGGGGGGAGGCTGAGGGGGGGCCGTCGGAGAGGTGGGCGACCGGGGGGGGGCTCCGGGATGCCGGTGGGAGAGGAGCCGCCGCCGCCCCGAAAACCCCCGACGGCTGGGACAGGGGGACACAGAGCCCGGGGACAGGGGGACAGCGGGGACAGGGGGACACCGCGCCTGGGGGGGGAGGCACCGGAGGTCGAGGAGGGGGGACACGGGCACGGCACCGGTCGGGGACACCGCGCCGGGGGCTTGGGGACACCGCCGCCACCGGGCGTGCCGGTGCCGAGCTCCCTCCCGCTGCGTGCCGGGGCTGCGAGGCTGCGCCCCCCCCATCCCGGGGCTCCCCGGGACCGTTTCTGCGCCTCGGGAGCGGAGGCGACCCCGGGGGGAGCGGGGGGGACCGGCCCCGGGACCGGCCTTTGTCCGTGCGCTCCCCCCCGGAGCAGAGGTGGGAGCCGGTGGGAGCCGGTGCAGCCCCCGGAGCGCAGCCCCCGGAGCGGGTCTCATCCTGTCCCGGGGGGGCTGGGGATGGGGTTGGGGCCGGGGAAGGTCCCGGTACCCCGCTTCTCGTCCGCTCCGAGCGGGAGGAGCGCTTGTACCGGGACAAACCCGCTGCGCCCGGGCGCATCCCGGCTCCGGAGCGAGCAGGATTGGCCCCGGCCCCGCTGCACGGCCCCGCTCCTGGGGTCCCTGGAAGCCCCCCCGGAGCCCCCTCGGGGTGCTGGAAGGGAGAAGGGGCTGGGGAAGCTCGGGGTGGAGGCGCAGCCCCAAAATCTGCTGCCGGGCTGGGTTTGGGTACCCCCAGTTTGTTTCGTGCCATGGGCAGGGGAAGGGGGCTCAGCCCCCCTGGAGCTGCAGTGAGGGGTCCTGACGGGAGCAGGGAGCTCCCCGTGCCCCCTCCTTGTGTGTGCACCTTGGGGCTGAAGCACCCTCCTTTCCCCCAAATTATTCCCTGCACAACCTCCTTCCCCCGCAGGGAGAGCCCCCCCACCCTGCTCGGGGTGCTGAGGGCTGGGGGCTGCTTTCTGGGGTGGTTTCGGGTACTTTGGGTGGTGTTTTCCATCCTCCTTCCCCTTCCTTTGGGATTTATTTGCGTTTCTCACGTTGACTTTGGGACCACGGGGGAAGTTTTCGCCCACTGATGGGACCATGCGAGGGGGGCTGCAGGCAGCACGGGGCGGGCACAGCTTTCGGACCCCCACCCCATCCTACAGCTCGGCTCACGGGGCTGTTTGCAGAAGGGCAGAGAAATCACCGCACTGCTGAAATCCCAGCACACCCCAAAGGGGCTCAGCGGGGACCAAGAGTGCTGCAAGGACCAGAGAGAGAGCCGAGGGGGGCGGCTGATCCTCACCAGCCCATTTTTTACCCTGAAAGCCCATTCTTCTCGGGGCAGAGCCCTGTGGGTTTTGGCACGCTGATCCCGGCACCGCTGGAGGAGGGGGATGCTTCACGTTGGCACCTGCTTCTGCGAAGGCACCGGGACGAAGACACCATCGGCACCTGGAGGAATGGAAACCTTGCTCCCCACGACCCCACCTGGAGAGGGAAATACCCGAGGGATGGGAGCTGGAAGCAGCAGGAAGATGAGCAAGGAAACGGAGCGAGAAAACCCCAGAACACGCTGAGCTGTGGGGCTGCTACCACTGGCACCGCCGGGGCTGGGACGCACTTTCCGAATTCGGGATAGGGAAACACCAAATACCAGGCAAAAGCCCTGCCCTTGCCCTTCAGACCTCACTGTGCATCAGCGTGGTGACAGCAGAGGAGCTTTTTCTGGTAGCTCTGGCTTTTGCCGTCACCCTAAAGCGAAACGGGCTCCTGGTGCCTTCTCTCTTCTTCCTCTTCACCATCGTTTTTTTTCCTCCTGCCGGGTGCAGGTCTGGAGCCCCACGGGTTGGTGGCAGCAGGTTAACTATCAGAGCAAACGAGCCCTGTATCCGATGTCTCTCCGCGGGAAGCAGCTCGGTGTCCGGCTGGGCGGTGGTTATTGGGGTCATTGCGCTGCTGGGCTGAGGAAGGGTGGCCCCAAACCTGCTGCAGGCACCCCGTCCTCTGTGCAGGGCTCACCATGGCCTGGGGATGCTGGAAAAGGGAGGGTTTTGTGCTTTCCTGAGGAGGATTCGGGCCCTTCCTCAGCACCCCAAGTCCCACAGCCCTGTATTTGGGGTCCTGGGCTGCCCAGCCCCTGCCCCAACCCAGCCCTGAGGGCACCCAGCGCATCCTTGCGGAGGGCTGGGCACAGATAACAGCTCTGCGACAGGTTTCTCCCCAAAGATAAGAGGCAGAAACCCCACAAGCCAGGCAGGACAGCGGCAGAGGAAATGCCACGGGGGCAGCGAGGGCTCGTCCTTGTCCCCATCCCCATCCCCATCCCCGTCCCCGTCCTCCCCCGGAGCGGCGCGGCAGCCTCCCGGCGAAAACCTTCCGCACAACTTCTGAGGTCTTGAAAGCTTGTTCACCTCCTTTCATTAGACTAACAAATAATGTGTAACGCGAAACATCTGTTAACAACAGCCCTTAATGTTCTCAAGATGATAAAGCAGGAGGGTAATTTTAGCCAGCAGGCCCTGACTGATGGCTTTTCAAACAATGAGCGGCCTTTTGGTGCTGCCTGCCGATGGGAGAGGGTCGGGCGCTGGCTCCGGGGGATGCTTTGGGGGCTGGCTGGGAGCTTGGCGTGAGCCGAGGTTGCCATGGGCTCGGGGAAGGGCGGCGACCCCATGGGAGCATCCCCAGGGATGGGGTGGGGTGGGGGAGAAAGTGTCCATCGCCTGCACGCCGGGAGATTTTGGATAGTACCAGATGGGAGCAGGAGATGGGATGGGGCTGGGTGGCAGCCCCGGGTACCCCACCAGCAGGTCCAGACCCTTCCTCTCCTCATCCCCTCGCCAGGATGTGGGGTGGAGGAATTGCCCTTGGTCCTGGGGTGAAGCGAGAGGCTGCACCCAAAGGGGCAGAGGGGGTTGAGGTGATGGATGCTACAGCAAATCCCTTTTAATTACACAAACGAGGGCAGATGGAAAAGGAGAGGTGAAGCAGGGGCTTGGTGACAGCGAGGGACTCGCTTTTGGGGTCAGAGGCTGGCCGGTTGTCCCAAGCAGTCCCAAAATTTCCCGGGGTCCTAGGTCACAAAACGCGTTTGTGCCGTGCCTTCCCAAACGCCGCGTGTCCCCAGCAGGCAGGGGCACAGCTCGAGGACACCTCGGCTGCTGGAAAAGTCTTGGTTTGTGCCTTTGGGGCCCTGGGGGCTCCTTCCTTGGGGTATTTGTGCACTGGGCTGCAATTAGGGACAGCATCGTTAGCTCATGGCCAACCCCTGCGCCTGGCCCAGGGGAGTACAGGCCCGTGGGGACCGGCACATCTCAGCCCTAAATCCGCAGAAATTTCCCCTGTGCCTCCCCGCCGGGGGGGGGCTGGGGGAGGCGAGCTGCCTCGGTCCTTGTAAGGCCAGCACGGGTGGCACACGGGGCTGGGACAGGAGCAGAATCCACGTGGCCGTGGTGCCCAGGGGCTGCGTGCCACCGTCGTTGTCCCCAGGGTGTGGGGACATCTCCTGCCCTGCAGGGAAGGATGCAAACCCCAAGGCAAGGGGTTGTGTCCTAACCCCCCCCCCAGTCTGCAGCACAGACCCTACGGCCAGACACCCCCTCCCCAAATGGGGACCCCTCCACCCACCATGGTCACCCCACATTCCTGCTGCAGGACCCCCCCCATCCTACCTGGTGGTCCCCCAGGTGCAGTGGGGCAGGTCCCCAGGTCTTGTGCATCCCAAAACCCTGCAAACCACCCCAAAACAGCACAAACCACTGCCAGGCACGGAGATACCCCAGCTACAAATGGGGTTTCTGGTGTGGGTACCCCAAAACCACTGTTCCCCATCCTCCTCCAGCCCCCAAGGGTGCCATGGTCTCACCCTCACCCTCCAATCCATGCACTGGTTCCCCAGGCTGCTTTCAAGCCCTTGCAGACCGGTGCCACCTGGGCTCCAATTTGGGTTGGATTTGCCCAGAAATGGGCTGAACGCCCCCAGCTGGGCTCCGGGACCCCCCTCCCGGTGTGAACACCTCGCAGCTCGGGGACCTGCAGCGGTGCTGTGCGCTCAGAGCCCTTCCCAGCAAAGAGCTACCAGCACGTGTCCTGCAGCGTTTGCACGGCTCTGCGGGGCTGCTCGCATCTGTGCCGGGGTAAAGCGAGCCATTGCCATGGGGAAAAGACAAAAAAATCCTAAACCGAGCACCTGGAAATTCCCCTTTCCCCCCTATTGTGATTTTTCTCCCCTCTGCGCCCCCAGCGAGCTGGGTTTTCGGTGGCAGCGCCGCAGGGGATGCTCCCTCCCCCCTCCTTTCCAGCAAGGATTGGGTGTGGAAACCTTTTCTTGGTGGGGTCTGGAGGGGACAGAGGGGTCCTGCGTGATTTGGGGACACGGGGCTTTGCCCTGCTCCATCAGGAGACCCCCCAGCAGCTCCGGGTGCCCGGTGCCGCCGTGGCCAGCCCTGGGGGAGCCCGGACACGGGGACACCTTGCCCGCCCCCCCCGGGCTGTTATGTCTAGCATGACCAGGAACAGCTCAGTGCGAGACTATTTCCCCTCTCCTTTTGGGCTGTTATTTCAGGGAACGGGGCTGATTCACAGGAAAAATATGAAATTTTCGGCTCCGCACGGCCAAGATGGGCGAATTTCAACGAATCAGCATTTTAAGAGAGCCTGGGCGTGTGTCTGTAGCTGGGAGGCTGATGAAATGATTTAGGGCTTTGAGGCTGCCTCGTTACAAACCCTTCCCCTCTCCCAGGGAGCGGGGCGATCGCCCCCTTTCCCA